AACAGTTATTGGATCTAACGAATTATTGTTAAAAATTGTTGGATATTTAAATAATTAATTCCAAAATTGTCAATTTTTTAAAAGTATTTCTAAACTTTTGGTATCTGAATAAGTGTATCTGAACAGCATACCTATATCGATATAAACACAGTAAACTAGCCAACATACAGATATTTGCTACGGGAAATAAATTATCAGTCTAAAAGAAACTACAGAAATATGTACTTTGGAAAGTAGTTACGTGTTACACAATTTATTAAGAGATGCTTTTTAAGAGAGAATTGTTATGAACTGTTAATATTAAATTAATATCACGTTAGTAACCATCGCTTACTGTCGAAAAGGGCGTGTGATTACGTAAGTATTGCATAATAAGATGAAAAACGCCAGGGATCGATGGGCTCGTTAACTCTCACTAAAATCGATAATTCAGGCCAACGTAAACGGATAGTACTGAACTGTTTAATACAAGTAAATACTTTCGTGGTGAGGGTTAATTAGACCGTCACTGTATCGTTTGGTATTCGAAGATTACATACAGCGCTCATTAGAGGTATTTCCCAGTGGCAGCCGTCACAGATCAGCCTTCGATAAAGTGAATAGAGCGATTTATTAAATTAGAATTGCAGATATCAAAGATATTTATGATTTATAAAACGCTTTACGTACTGCATCGAGACATCGACAGAATTCTTAAATTCTGATTATCCCGAGCGAAAAGTTAATGGAGCAACAGATTCGATCAGCGCAGAATTAGATTAATCACGATGACGCAATCTGGAGACCAATTGTATCTTGAGACGAGGTGAAAATTACAAAAGTGAGCAAATTCATTACTCTCTAAAACTTTTACAGTGAATTTCACTCTTAAAGATTGAAAATTGAGTCACTCTTTTTAAGATTGATCTTTCCAAGATACACAATTGACCCCCTGTTGTTGCGAAAAAAGTCGCATGATTATCGCAAAATACGACAACATCGTCGATGTATTACGAGATGTTTACGGGAGAGTTGCACCAACAATCTTGGTTAATTAAACATCGACTGGTTAAATTTTTCAAGATCGATTCTCCAATAAAACAATTCCCTAAAATTTTTATTTTGCTCTAAAGAATGAAATCTCGTTCTTAGACCGAAGATTGAGCCACTCTTTTCAAAACAAGCTCAATTTTCACTCTTCAGAATCAGATTCCATTCTAAAGAATTTAGGGAAAAGGCAATCTTGTATGTTAATTCAAATCAAAGAAAATCTAAAAAGGCGAAAATTCAGAAAGTTTAAACTCAAGTTCTACATGCCAATGAAAATCATTCTTCTATAAATTGAAAGAACGTATCTTAATTTTCAATTATGTTTAAACTTTCAGCGAATTAATTCAACGTGATTTAATTCAAAATTCTCTGGTCTCTGAGAAACATGTACGTTGAAAATTTCCATATTAATCGACGGTTAATCTATAAGAGGGAAATACGTCGTTCTCTACTTGGGATACAAGTAAATTGGGAAAATCCAATCAATTGAATAGTTAATTGACGTTGGTGCAACCAACCCTCTTCCGATCCTCGCACTATAGGAGGACGTGTAATGTAATTGTGTATGCGTAAATAAATCCTTCAGGATTCTTCTCTTTCTCTCATTCTCTCTCTCTCTCTCTCTCTCTCTCTCTCTCTCTCTCTCTCTCTCTCTCTCTCTCTCTCTCTCTCTCTCTCTCATTCTTGCATGTAGGAAATAAACATAAAAGAGACCTCCAAAATCTCCACTCCGACTTCGGCATCGATGTAGGTCTCGATTTTCACACAGCTATAAGTCCCGAATTCGTCGGGAAGACAAAAGCATCACCGCCCGCCCCACGTCGATAAAAGCCAAGGTACAGGGCTCCCAGAGGACGACCTCCCAGATGGAACGACGAGTTTGGAGTGGTTTACCACACGGCGTGCGGTGTCGTTACGGAAGAGAGGGTCCTAGCTTCTAGAGCCTTATACCGAGATTTATCCCACCCGGTAGAAGAAAGAGATAAGTTTTAGTCCGCCCGGTCTCGTTTCGTCTTTGCTTTTTCGATTTGCGTTTCTTTTTTTTTTTTTTTTTTTTTTAATTCAAGCCAAGAGATAATCGGGCCAGCTGAAAACTGAAGATAAAGAGACCAAATGATAAAATTAAATCGCACTCGCATACGAAAATTCAACATAAAAGCAATCGTGAGTCGGATTTGACAAAGCGAACGCGGTGTTTTCCCGGAAGCTAACGAATATTCCACACCAATGATCGTAAGTCCACCGTACTACTTCCGGCGTTTCGTTGCACCTTCGGAAACACACATCCGGGACTTCAAGGTTTTAAGTTTCAACGTTTCTTAGCGCTCGCTAATTTGGAAAAGCCTCGATAATTTTTAATTATTAATTAATAGATATAACTTATTGTGCCACTCTCTAAATCAGTAGATAGTCACTAATTACCCATATATAAGTAAAATACTGATATTTGATACACGCTAATTTCAATCTTCCAACCATATTCGTCGAATTTCAGCACTAAAATAAGATTGGATCACATAATAAAGATTAGCTAGATTAGAGAATCTCATAGTTGATTCATTGATTATCAGTGGCACTGATTATACTTGGCACTGATATCAAGCAGTGATTATCCACTGATTCAGATTTAGAGAGGATACTTTCATAAAATAACTTAAGCTTAGAACTAAAAGTAACACTTGACAAATAATTGAATCCTTCTCTCTAAAACTTTTAGAGTGAATCTCGCTCTGAAGAGTAAAATCTTACTCTTAAATTGAAAAGATTGACTCAATTTTCAATTCTTTAGAGTGAGATTCCACTCCAAAAGGTTCAGAGAGAAGGAAATCATAATATGTACTAAGGATTAAATTGGGACAAAAAGTAGCATTTAAAAAAATAATTGAAATTTAAAAAATGAAAAAGAGCAAAAATACGACGAGCCGAGCGTTTTCTGTTAGAAATTTAGCTTCACGTTAAAGTATCGTCGCTTCATTTGAAAAATTCTGAGAACACCCCCTCAAATTCGCATACTCACTCCGAAGAAGACACGACTGAAAGTGACGACTTAATCGCGCGCGTTTCCCATTCATACATTTCTCTCGCAATGAATCCACGCTGTTGTGTCATGCCAACGAGCGTATTCGCAGGCGATGAAGAGGAAAGCGAAGCGCGAGCTGAACGGTAGCTTAGAAGTCGCATTTGCATATAATCGCGCCACATAAATAGCCACTTTTAATTAGCATAAGACATTTCTAGACCCTCGAATCGATAAATTCAATCCCAATCGATATTTCAATCTAGGCCTTTATAAACACTCGCATACATCTTATCACAGAAAATTATGTTGCGTGCCGTGGACGAGTTTCCTTCATGCGTCTTTCTTGAGGAAAAAGATGAATGAAAACAAAAACGTAAAAAAAAAACAGGCTCGACGTAATCGCATGTCATGTAACGTCTATTTCTACCAATGGAGATTAACTTTAATCTCGTTTAACTCATTCTTTATCTTTTTCCAATTCTTAGAATTAGAGAGAAAGATTAAAAGTATGTTAACAGAGGTACCAAGTCATTTTTTAACTTAAACGTCCCTCTATTATTTATATTAAAATTATATTTCTTGTGTAAAAAAGAAAATTTTGAAATTTTTTATTATTCAATAATTATGTACTTTATAATGATGGAATATTTAGTTCCACTCTTTAGTTATCACTCTCTCTATTTTAATAGTAATTTATTCGCTTGATTCTTTTATAATTTCAATATAAATTGATATAAATTGACTTTAATTTCAGTTCAACTTACTCTTCAACTTTTTTCAATTTTTAAAACTAGAAATAGATTAGAAAGAGTTAGTTAAATAAAAATAAAAATTAAACTACATTTTTTTTGTAGAAAACGAGTATTACTGAATAAAAATCGCTTGCTTTCTAACGTTAAACCGAGATTAAAATTAATCCATATTGAAAATGACATTAATATTTGATGAGATCAGTTCGAGGTTGATTCAAAAAGGAGAACAAGGTTTATCGATTAAAGGGCTCGAAACGGGTGAGACACGACGCGCAGACAAAGGACACACATACACACAACACTCTCTTCTCTCTCTGTTTTTCGTCACGCGATATATGATGTTGCCTTGGAATTTTGTTTGCCCAACATGAGAATCGCGAATCATATACAGATACGATGGGATATTATAGGCGACGATGGCAGTCACGTTTGATGTTTGATGCGGGAGGAAATAAAATCAAAAGCCACATGCCCCGTTAACATTGACGGTAATTGCAGAAGAATAACAATAAAGCCCTCAACATGCAAAGTCATGGATAACATTAACTCCAATTTAGGCCGGTATTTATAGTTGGTTCTTATATTTAAGACCGTCTTAAGTACAGTCTTAAGATGTTATGAACTAATCGTATTAACATCTTAAGACATTACTTAAGATGGTCTTAATATTATATAAGAATGGACGATGAATACACGCCGCCCTTAAAATCCCTCTTGCTCCGATATTTCAATTTCTAGGTGTTCAACATATTTAACGTTTAAATGACATTTTATCACACAAAATCGTCACTTCTCGAACACGTCTCTCTGTTTCGCAATGTTTAAAGTTTGAATATATTTTTATGCTATCGAAACTTCGTGATAAATATGTAACATATATTTTGAAAAATTGAAAAAAAATATGACGGGCACATTTTTTTATTCTTTCAAATAAAACAAACATTTTTAATAAAAGTTCAATCATGCAAATAAAAGATAAAAGATGCGTTCTATTTTACGCGCATGATGCATATAATGTATCATTTTATTCTTATTTATTGACACTAGAAGTATCAAATGATCATTATTGATCGTTTCTATTTTTCAGATTAATATTATATTTTTTGTGTAAAAGATAAAATTCTGAATAAGATTTCTGATTGTTTATTTTTCAATATGTTTTTTATAATAATAAAATATTTAATTTTTTATCACTCTCTTTATATTTTCATAATAATTTATTCCTTTGATTTTTTCAGTGAGTACAAAACGTTGGTACTTTTAGTATTAACATTCAGTAAACGAAAATAAAATGAGTAAAGAGTAAAGATCGAATGTCCAAAGTAGAGATGAAAATGATCAAAAAACTAGAAGTTTTGAATAAAAAAAATTTAATAAAAAGCAATTGTTTTTCCTTAGCTTCTTAAGTAAGTTGTTTACTCGACTATATATTTTTGAAGCATTTAATGATTTTGACGCTATACTGCCGTTCTAGAATTCAATTTTTGCATTTATCCAAAATATTTCTGTGAAAAGATAATTACAAAAGAAAAACGTAGTACAATAATTAACAATAAGTGGCAGTGATTATAGATATAAGTAACTACCGTTTACAATTATTCGGACGACATTTTATACTGTACTCCAATTTTAAAAATGAAGTAAATGTTTCTCTCTCTCTCTCTCTCTCTCTCTCTCTCTCTCTCGCACTGTTTTTACACAAATGATATTTTATTAAAATAATTGATGCTGCTTTTGTTGTAATTTGTTGTTACATATTCTAAAATATAAATCAATAAAACAACGTTTATCAAATTATTCCCAATTATTCTTGAATCGATATTATATTAGGATTTTGCATCAATAATTAAAATTTAAAATTCTTACAATTATAACTACAATAATATACAAAAACAATGTCAATTATAAACTATCTATAATCTGTGTTAATTAATAAAATATTATTTGTTAACAATAATATGAGCCATTTCTTATTTAGCTTTTAAAATCGGAGTAAAATATAAAATATCTGTCGTCTAAATAATTATAAGCGATAATGTATTTAAACTTTAGACCATTGTCGATAAAGAATATCAATTCATTAGGCACCGCAACAACATAAAAGTGTTTCCGCCTTGATTTGAAATTATAAAAGAAAAAAACATTAAATAATGTCGAAATAATATGGATATCGGACATTTTAACCGTGAATATCAAGAAAAATGAATTCTATATCTTTTTCAATGTGTTTAATGTAAATTCTATCTATTTTCCATGAATTCTACATCATTTTGAATAAAAAATCGTTTTTTAACGTAAGAAATCCGTTTTTGATTTGGTATTTTTCTACGAAATTAGAAAAATCTGCTTTTTTATCTCTACTCCAAAGATAAAATGATGACGTAATGCGCAGCATGCATCAAATGAATCGCATCCAAAACACATCCGAAGTTTCATTTTTTTTTTTTTTAATATAATAAATACTTTTATATATATATCGATTAATAAGAATATTTGTAACTATTTTTAATATTTAATATTATAAATTTGTATCTAATATCTTTAATATTGTCGATATAATAAATATTAATGAAAATCAGGCAAATAAAAAATAAACAATAAAAATATTTAAAAATCGCGTTTTTCAACCTATTTTCTACTACCTTCGTTTTACGAGAGGATGGAATTGTAGTCAGTTGGTTTTCAAAACAGATGATTCATTCAAACGCTGCATCACTGTATCATCTCGAGTAGCGCGCTCAAAGTCACTCTCCCCTCGCATTTAAATATAAATAAATGTAGCGGTAAAAATAAGTGACACATAGCAGTTTGAACACGAACATTCACTTAGTATTTATATGTATACACATACATATATTTGAGGAGAGTACTCGAGCGCGAGAACGAACACCTAGGGATCCGATCGGTTCGAGCTGTCAAAACAACATGGAGTCAAAGAACGAGTATTACATACCCGTCAACGTGCACCTCTCTCGTCGCGGCTTAAAAATTCCCGTTACGGATTATTAATCACGCGATGCGGACCGAGCTGCCCTCGTCGGCATCGTTCACGCTTAGCGTCGATCGAAGTCGAAAAAACCGCGCGGCGATTCACCGCACCGAACCGCGCTCGCACAATGGAAAGTAATCGCGTCCCGAAGAAAAACTGCACTACAATTGGAAACTTGGCAAAATCACTTGGTGAAGAACGGAACGGACTTTTCGACGGAGGAAGAATTTCTAGGAAGGTGCGCCGAGTCGACCGGTCTTTTGTACATCACTCGTCGCCGGTGCGCTACAAACGCTCGCGCGAGGACGGACGCCGTCGGATTGCACGACGTTAGGCAACCGACCGAGCTGGACGAGCGACTGCGAACAGTGCGAACTGCGATCAGTGCAATCGTTCCGTCGCGTCGGCTCGGCTCGGCTCGGCTCGGCTCGGTTCGGCTCGGCTCGGATCGGATCGGGTCGGATCGCGCAACCACCGCGGAACAGCACGCGATCTCGATGTCTCGATACGCGAGCGCTTGCTCGTGAGCAGACGGAACGTGGAGGTCTGCGGAAAAAACATCTCGCGTCTACATCAATGTGTTACGCTGGCGCACACTGGCGGCGGTAAACGTCTCTCCGACAGTTGCTGCGTTCTAGGCTTTGTTCGCTTTGGCGTCACAACGCTTTAAGCGTCGTTTTATCTTTATTTCGTAGTATTAAACAAGGACAATTGATGCTCGCAAGTGTTGTGAGCGACAAAGCGAACGCAGCCCTAATATTATCACTGCTGGTACTGAAAATCTATAGTGCGTGTAATATTGTATAGAGTTTGAGTACTGGCGGTGAATATCGGATCTCGCGGCGGTCTTGCGCCGTGACTCACTTGCCTGCGCAGGGTCTCAGAATAGCAAATTAATAGCGTTTTTCATTTGGCAGAATTATAGGATAACTGTCCCTATTAATATACTTTTTAGCCAATTTGCTTATTACTGAATTAATTATTATTAAGTATTGTAGCTTTAATTTTATCTGCTTGCAATCAACATCGGTTTTTCAATTATTTCTTTTCCTTATAATATTTCTTTAATTTAAAAAATGTTAACACTTTATAATGTTTTTCGTAAAAATTATGTTTTTGTTAAGACGAGTTCTCCAAATGGCTCTATTAAAATGTGCCCCCAATTAATTTGTGTGCCTATCCGCATTTAATTCATTTTAACATATAGTTGCTAAAAACAAGTAATAAATATAAGCTAATTGTTTAAGTAAATATTACATAAATCAGTATTTCAATTATACTTATTTCAATGAACACTAACGTTCTCAGCTCCAATACAGGGTACACTAATAGAGGCAAGTTTAAAATCTTGCAGTACGTATTACTGGATTCACATAAATTTAATTCCTCATATCTTTCGAAAAATGTTTAAAATATTGTACTTTAATAGTTAAAAAATAAAATATTATCTTTGGTATCGTATACTTTAATAATTTAACTTAAAAAAAAAATTTTTTTTTTCTTATTTATTCGTGCTAGTTTTCTTTACAGCTCATTGAAATACAAAAGTACATTAATAGAGACAAACCCAGTAATAGGGACTGTTATCCTAGTATATATATTCAGCGCACTTTAAAATTGTTGTACATAAATCGATATAAAGATGACAAAATGTATGATGTAAATACTACATGTACATAAAGTTAAAATAGAAGTTTGGTTGAAATGGTCAGTCATCCTAAAAGCGGTATTCATAGTTTGATCTTACATTTCATCTTGAACTTGATCTTGAGTAACATTAAGATTCCATTCAGCGAATGAAATGACCGTATATATAGTATCCTGAAATCATAATTAAGAGTCTCTTAAAATAATGTATGTGTGTTAAACATAAGATCGACTATAAAAATCTCTTTAGATCTTGAAGGAT